TTCTGTCTATAATGTATATTGAACATGAGAAGAGATTTAGGATTTTAGCTTGTGCGTCAAGAAATATCCACAGATTACGGGATCAACTAGAGAAAACTTTCACAGACATAATTTCAGTTATAATATTTAAATTGAAAATGACTGCGCCCTTTCTTTCATCCCCGGCTCCTTCGAGTGATAAAACTCTAGATATCTGCGATATATTTTTAGGATTTTTGTATTGTAACGTTGCGATTAATGGCAATTTGCATGCTAATAAAGGGTCTATGATCAAGAAGTTATGCTTTTACTTCTGACCATTTGTAGAATTGCTTACATTGGAGAAAAAATGAAACGTCACTTTTTAAATTATTCAAATATCCATCTCAGAGGCAATTAATATAACAAATGCCTTACTCTCTGCACCGGATCAGACGGGTTTTTTTTTCCTCTGTGAAGCCAAATATCTGAATACACGTCCATTAGAAAAAGTTTAATACATCAATAATCTTTATGCGGCAAAGTTGATAGGGCGCGGTACACACAGCGAAGATCCAATATATTCCGGCAGAGAATTCGGTCATGGTCGCCTCCTCCGATCTACGTCGCTCTGCAAATTCCACTCTCTCGTGGTCCACGAGCGAGCGGCAAAAACATGGAGCGGAAAGGCCGTGGTTATCAGGGCCGCGAGGTCCTTCGAGATGAGTACGCGGAGATATCGATACGAGATACCTGTCGTGCGCAAACGTGCGGATTTAAAAACGTTTTCCGGGATGAAGGAAGATCAATGGGCGCAGGTTGTCAATAATATTGTCTTTTGATCAAAAACCGAAACTTTCGCAACGACATTTTGACAAATATAGCGAGAGTCCCCTACACACGTTCACAGAATCAAGACTGAGATTTCTCTCTCTCTCTCTTTCTCTCTGAAATTACGAGCCCAAATTAAATCCCTGTTTATAATCGTAAATAACAGTGACAATTTTTGACAACACAAATTTTGAATCTATATTTCAGGCACAGGAGAGAGGGGGGGGAGAGAGAGATATAGAGAGAGAGAGAGAGAGAGAGAGAGAGAAATTCCGACCTTTACCTGAATTTCATCAGTTGTTTAGCCGCTACTGTCAGCGTTCAAATAACCCGCCATTGACACGCCGGTTCAATCGTGCCGAGCGACGAGCAAGAGCAGCGTCGCGCGCGAGATTATTCCCTTATCGCGCAACATTGTGGTTATCGGTCGTAATAGCGAGTGGCGCGGACGAGATTCGTTTCAGAGTATTTGACAAGATCGAGAGCGCTCAGCTGTTAAACCATGTGCTCGTGCCGGCGCGACCAGCAAGGTCGCGAGACGCTATCATTCAGGCAATGAAAATGGCGCGCGCATCGCCGCATCGAGTCAAAACGCGAACGTGTCAACATGTAAACTCCGATGTGGACTCACCCCTGTCGAATTTCTTGCCTTCCGGATCGATGTCCTTCACGTTGAAAATATCTTCGAACAGCACGCCCGCCATGTTGCCAACACTAACTGCCCTGCCCTCTGACGCCGAGTAGGTGAAATGTCGCCAGTGTCGTATCAACGGCTCCGGAACCACTGTCTCGACTTCGATTGAAAAATTATGATTGTTACAAGATATAGAGTGAATTACAGAAGTATTGGCTGTAATATTTCCGAAGAAACCTTACAAACACAAAAGTCGATCGTAATGTTATATTGCAAGCAATTCGATAAATAAATATAATAGTAATCTTAAATTAAACACATTTCTGAAATGACGTAATAAATTTTGTAAAAGGTTTTCCTGTAATTTTTTCGCAAAGATTTTGTTCTTCCAAATTTGCAGAATCTAAAACTGCAGCCTATATTTAGCTTACTTTTATATTTACCTCATTGTTGCAATACGTCTGCGATTCATGAATCACGCGCGTCTCTCTTAAACGCATTACTCATTTTCATTAGACTTCTCGTGTCGGATAAATAGCGCTAATGACAAATTGTTTCAAAAATAGACACCACAATTGAAAGAAAATGACAGTGCCTCCTTTCACAAGAAACAAAGATAAATAAAAACTGAAAGAAATTGTTCGGGAGATTAAGCATACAAGCTCGCAAATAAATACACATCAATTTTTATGAATACCACTTTGAGCTAATCACTGAAAGAGAATCAATAACAATTCCTAATCTTGAAAAGCAAAAATTCGATTTTAGAATAACGATCGAGGGCGTCTTCTTTCAATTCTACGTTTATGTATTATTGACGATTAACTTCAGCAACATCAACTGATTTAAAAAATCAGATAAGTATTCGATTCCGCAAAAAGAATACATGACTTCCCGTCTCTATTTACATCCGCGATGTGCAATTCGTGATGTCAATGTCGATTTCAACAGAAATTGAAAAACACACACAGATACAAGAGTACTATTACATTTGTCGTACGACAAATTTTTCAAGCGTATTGATTGGCTGCAGGATAGAAAATTTCTGGAAACTCGAGAACTTTTCGTTTCTGCAGCCAATCAACCACTTAAAAATTTTGTCGTCATCGACAAATGTAATATCAGCCTAAGCTTGCGAACTTGTCCATCGTTTATGCGAGGAAACAGTTTCAAAGCTGAAAATCGATGCAATTGGGAATTAACCATGCTTACTAGAATATTCGAACGGCCTTGGTACTCACGAGCATATTGACAGGGAGAGCCACTAAGCGGACCATCAGTGTTTTTACGCAGCGATGCTGCGTAATTTTTATGAGCGTTTAGACGAGAACCATATCGTAATGACACATATTTTAGCGCTGTACAGTACGTAAAATTAGAGATTTCACAATCTTGCGCAAAGCGAAATAACAGAAATCCTTCTTCGACTAATATTCGACTAATATTCAATATACAAATAAGATTATGTCATAAAGCTATCTTTGACATTTTTTAGACTCAATATCCGTTTTAAGAAGTTTTGAAATCCATCTCAGGTAGATTCGTGAAAATTAAGCAATTCAAAAATCGACGAAAGTATCAGGAGAATAAATAAGGTCGTACTTTCCAAGAACTCGGGATCTGAAGTCGCGCAAACCTCAAAAATCGATAAAGTATTAAGAAAATATTATTGGCACAGTGGCCGCACTATATGAAATTGCAACAATTCCATGGCTCACAATTCTGAGAATTTGGGACCGCAAAGTTGCGAAAATTAAGTATTTCAAAAGTCGACAAAGTATTAGAAGAATATAATCGGCAGGGTGGCCGCGTTATCTAAAATTCCAAAAATTCCACGAATCACGAGAATTCACGATTTTCAATCGTGAATATTTATTTATGAAATTTGACCAATAGGAGTGAAGTTACCTAATCTCAAGTCTAGTGACTCTTACTCTAATTGGTCAAATTTCAATCTAATCTCAATCTCAATCCGTAGTCTGATACGGGTTTAAATGAGATTAACAATTTACAAAATACTATACTGTAATTTACAAGATACTATAATGTATGTTGTACAGTGATATGTCCATGAACGTAGGAAATACCTGGACGGAGCGTAAAGTACTGGTAAAGTACCCTTATGGATGCAGGGAGTTGGCTCTGAAGGGTGAGGGGAATCTATCATCGCGGCCTGGTCTATTGGTTCCTGTGGGAACCAGAAAAATAATTCACCAACACATATCGTCGCGGCTATCTCGTTTCTGAAAGTTTTTGGTAATTTACTAAAATGCTGCTGATACTTGCTGCCTATGAAAAGTCAGCTGTAAAGGCCTGTATCCACGATGCTAAAACTTGGACCAAGTTCTAGTTCATCATGGACACAGGCCTTTAAAAGCGTCGTATCTAGATATTTGTGTGCGATGGACGATGGCAGGGCCATTTTGATTACTAGCAAAGTTTAATTAGATTGGTGGAAAACTGCGTTTTAATTATAGGTCTGTTCTTTGTAGCTGAACAAGTGTAGCCAGTTAAAATAATAAAATTGAAATTGCACTTACCTGGATTATTTTTTCATTTATACCACGCTTTTTTCCTATCTCATTCTCTATATATTGTGATAGTTATCCAAAGTGTTACTTTTCTCAAAACTTACAATTTTAGACATTTTAAAACCATAATTTCCGGAAATCTCTTAAAAAATTTATAAAATTTTAGTGCTACTATCTTGTCAGTTATGTTCCCCTTTTTCAATTTTTCGGGAAATAATTATCGGAAATTCAGATTCTAGGAATTCTCGGAAGTATCAATTACAATACTTGGAATTTTAGATAGTGCGACCTCTTTGCTGATCATGTTCTCCTGATACTTTGTCAGTTTTCGAGATTCTCGATATTCGCGATTTAAAGTTTGAAATTCTCGGAATTTCAATTCTTAGAAATGTTAAAAATTCTCAGAATTTTAGATAGTGCGACCTATTTGCCGATCCTGTTCTCCTGATACTTTCAATTTTCGAGATTCTCAATTTTCCTACGTCCATGCATATGTCCCTGCCTGTAAAGTCCTGAAGACAGTGTGGTGTAGACTTCATTCTTCGGTTCAGTTCATTTGGGTTATTTGCGCAATTTAAATAGCTCCTGCCATCTATAGTACGAATCGGAAATGAAGTATCGATTGTCGCTTTTTGTAAAGGGCTCACAAAGCATCTCCAGATTTTTGGCGCATGTGTGACACAAACATTTGCATGTATTGTATATGCCACTAAAACTAATTTTGGAGATAAAGTTAAGGCACTTAAATAATTATACATAATTTTATTAATATTATACAAAATTACGTATAATTATTTTACTTCGATTTTGTTAATTTTTTAAAGATGTTTAAATAATTCCTAAAAATGTAGCAAGATATACACATTTTCTTTTCAAAATTAGGAGTATAATTATATTAAACTTACCTAGTAAATAGAAATTTTCGAATCTACATGTATGTATGTTAAAATTGCTTCATAATCTCCACAATGTGGATTGCGAATTTCTTGTTTTTAATTTTAATATTTACGAAAATTGAGGCATAACAAATACATAAATGAATATTCTTGGTTGGAGAAAAAACTTTACAAACAAGTTAAAAATTTATAACTGATACATTGTTTACTATTCGCTTTCATCTTCATCCTTCGTATCAACTTCGGTTCCTTCGGAAGGCATTTCTAATTTTTGTTTGAATTGCTCAACATATTTCAACAATCGTGTGTCAGAACTCACAACCTGCCATCAGATATTAAATTGTAGTTAATGCATGTACACGTAATGGCCATACGAAAAAGGTACACATATATGAAAATAATTGGCATACCATATTCGTAACATTCTTGATGGCTTTTTGCAGATTCTGTTTTGACAAACCGTCCTCGATTTGGATGTATAGATGTGTTAAAGATTTTATAAGAATTTCTTGGTCTATCTTGCTCTCTGGATTTAAAATCTCAGCCAGCATAGCAAACGCAAGATTGTTGTGCGTATAAAATGTTTGTCCATTGGTCTTCTGACATCCTCGTCTAGTTAAGCTCAGTATAAACCTAGATATGTGATAGGCATTAATCTCCTGCAGAGGACTAATATCCGGCGCGTTACAAAGAACTTGTAGTGTCGGCAAGTATGCGCCCTCAAGCATTTCTTGTGCATTGGGTACTCGTGTCACAAAGCAGTCAAAAAAGGTGCTTAAACACTGACGAAGATAGACATCATCGGCGTTCACTGGATTGTAGCACATAATTATCAAGCGCGATATAAGATTACTGCTATTGATTCGTTGATTAAGCAATAATTTACAGAGCCCTTCCGCTGCAGTAGTGCGTAAATCTTGATTCTGGAAAATTCTCAGATATTATTACCGTATTAGTAATAGTAATTTTATTCAATTTTAGCAAAGTCCAAAGCTATTATTGTTACTTACCCCGTTGGTGAGTAATCCTGTTAAGATTTTAATGAAATTGCAAGGGCCTTCTTCCACTTGACACCGTTTACTTATATCAATACTACTATCCTCGTGTGCATAAAGCGATCGGGTCTTTTCAGATCTACTCTGCATGGAATTTTCTTCCGATGGTTGCAATATGTCAAAATATTCCAAACCGTACATAAGTAGGAGATCAAATATTGCTTTTAGAGAAACTATCCAGATCTCTTGATTCTCTTGTTCGAGAGAAAATTGATAAAAGAATATCATTACGTGTTTCTTAGTCAACTCTTTGTCTAAGAGACAATAAACGGCTAACGTTTTTAGCGCTAATATATGTACACTATCGTGAGAATGCTAAAATGATAAATTAGATTAAACTATAATAAGTGATGTTAAATAAAATACAATGCAAAATTTGTATATACGTATATGTGTAAAATATGTATATACATACGCCGTAAATTCTATGCACACTTACATCAAGACTACTTAATACAAAACACATCAAACTTCTGAGCGTAGGTGTTAATACGCGAACGGATTGCATCGCAACATACAAGATATCGAGGCATTTCACCATAGTCACGGTATCATTTTTCTCTTCCCGCATATTATCTTCAGGTATTGTTAATTCAGGCAGAGCTTTAGATAAACGACATATCTCTTCTTTCAAACTATTAATCTTTTCTTTAAAACCGTCAGCTTCTAAAAATTTCTGCTCCTTGATCGCTTGATACAATTCCTCTTCGAGCTCCATCACTTCAACTTTCAATCTAGCTTTCTAAAATGAGATCGAAAAGAAAGTAGAAGAATTTATAGATACATCAATTTCTTTAACATAAATTTTAATACTCACTCGCATGTTGTTTTCATGTTGCTGCTCCGCGGTAATTTGCTGAGTGGCTACATTTTCTTTCAAAGGTAGCCTAATCTCGCTAATAATATTAGCAACAGCAGTCAGCATACTACTGGCGTCTGGTATCACTTTTGTCAAATGACTCACTAGACACTGAATTATTTTAGTGGAACAATGATCGCTCATTAAAGTGTTTATTATCACTTCGTGCAGATTTTTCCTGCCTACTTCGTCCGAGAGATCGTACGTTGTAGATATTTCAAAAAGTTGTAGTAGAATAAACATGTGATTCTCCTTCTCCCATAATTCATGCGGCTGAGAAGATATAAAAGAAATAAAGTCGCAGATATATTTGCAAAATTCTGACAACTCGGGAATTATTAACTCCAACTCTTCCGTACAGCAATGATGTTGGAGATGCTGTATTATACACTTCCAATATAAGGCATTCTCATTTATTAACTTTGTCAATGGAATCAATCTTGTATTTTTATCTATTGGCACTTGCTCCAATAAATTATTTAAATCAGCGCTTCTGTAAAAGCAATATTTAAAATCTTTAATTTGCATGTCACTTCATCGATATTAGTTATTTGTTTTACAAGATACACATACCTGAACAGTACCTGTAAAGCTAAAGTTGCTGACTCGGTTCCTATTCCAGCATCCAGGGCATGAATAAGGCTCATGTACTCTCCCTTGAAATATCTTAGCCACGATGGCAACAGAACATTGTTTACGCATTTTCTAACATCCTCAGATCTATCTTTGAGACCGTCTTTCAATAAATTCTCTCTTTGTTCAATAGTCAAGGAACGCACTGTGACTTTACTTATAAACTCGTATGCTTTCTTGCGCACAGAGTCATTGATATCTCGTGTTCTTGTCAGTGCAGCTTGTAAGGTCTTCTGATTTTTACCCATAGTAGTGAGCACTGCTTTACGAACTTCAGCATTCGGATCTTTCGATAGATGAAAAAGGTACATCTTTATCACAGGACATTGCGGATCCGATGGATCCTGCAATCTGTACAAGGCAAAAACAGCTTGTGCTCGGACCTTAGGTGACTTATCCAACAATCTGTCCATCATACTGACTGTAATTTGGTCGCACAGTTTGTCATCGATAAAAGCGTGATCGCCCATGGAGTTTAAGAGCATGTTTAGAAAATGGCATATGCGAAACCTCACTCCTTTATCCTTGGCATTGTGACTCAACAAGAGAAAATTGAATAACTTGCTGAGAAATGGCGAGATAGGCTCTGTGGCTTCACTGTCCAGGGATGGATAGAAGCTCATACAGAATTTCGCACAGAACTCTAATGTGTTTACAACATACGGATGCTGCTGCGGTGTCGAAAGAGGTGCTTTCAAACACCAGACGAAATGCTCCCAGAACGTATCTAAATCAGTCTAGAAAACAAACATCACAAAATATCATTCAACAAGGCCTATATATATGTATAAAGTGAATATTACTCTAAATTATTATATATGTACAAGTCAAATAAATTGTCCGCATTCAGCTCATTATAAATCCCTGGAGAGAACCAATGTCGTTTCAAGAAAGACAGAAAATATTGATACATTTCACAAGAACGAAACCTACCTTCTCGCTCAGTTTCTTCAGCTTCTTCATATACGGCGGATGGTCGGTTTTAGTGAACTGCACCTTGTGAAATATGTTTTTCATACTACCTCTAATCGCCGGAGCCATCTTTATCTTTCAGCGTAAGGAACTCTAGGCAATTGCTGTCGCCAAGGATATCCGTTCTTCCGCCGCCTGTCCACCTCTTGCAGAGACGTGCGTACGTTAACTTTTGAAAAAGCGTCGTGCCATTGCAACACAACTACAGCGCCATCAATGGACCAGCCCAAATTTACCGCCATCTCTTGCGACTCGCTCGAGTTAATCTGGCAATTTTGCTCAGTCGTCAAGGCAGGAATCGATTGTACCAACCTTCGTCACAAACACTCGAATATCACGATCGATAAATGCAGATCTACAGACATTTTGTACTCGACACAACAATAAAATTCATAAAGACGCATTTCTGTAATAAATTCAATGCAACAAAATTTCTGAGCGATTTGTGCGAGATATAGGATTGTAAATGAACATTTTACAGAAGCAAATTGGGAACCGAGATTTAAACATCATAATCTCTATATTATTTGTATTATTTTTACAAATTTACAAGTCGCAGATACTTTCTCGAGAATAAGTCTGCCTGCAAATTTGAACGATTCGTCAGTATTATTTCTATTTATTTGAATATCTCTCTATCAACAATAATAAAAACTACACAATAACAAAAAAGTAACGATAATAATGATTACGAGCTCGTCGCCCGATTGTTTTCCTACAACACTTGCAAAAATGGTGCGGCATTCTTAATTATTCAACGTTGTCATTCAAAGAGGAAAGATGAGGAAAATGGGAGGCCGCTCTATTAATTATATTTTTTATTTAACATCAAAAGTAATGACACTTGGGTTGTTTTGTATCAGTTTGCGATGTAATCCACGTGCGTATTTGTCGTATATGTGTGTGTATGTGTGGGTGTGTGAGTGTGTATTTAATCGAGTATTGCGTGTAAAAACAAAACTTATCGGATAATCAATTAATTAATTAATTGCGAAAAAGAGAATCGTCAATCAGAAGGTAGATAGCTGCTGAAATGGTGTAATAAAGTGTCATTTCGGAGCATCTCTCTATAACCGGTGTCTCTCTCTACACGCGATGTATAAAGTGTGGACGTGTGGTATGTACGCGACGTTTCAAAACGCAAAAAAGGAAGGAAAGAAACAAGAAAGAAGAGTACGGTAGGCCCGTGACAAAAAAGCGTTCCCTTCTCCAAGGACGAGACCGCCTTTCGCTCGTGGTCTCCGTCGTTCGCGCGCGCGATCTATTTGTTCGTTTTCAATTATTTAAAATATGTACAGTATTAATAAAACGTTATCCGCCCTTCTTTCTCCCTTTTTCTTCTTTTTTCTTTTTTTAAAGACTTTTTTTTATCGTTCAATGATTCCGACGCGGTATGCGGCGGGCTGTGCAGGCGCGCGGCGTCAAAATCCACCGGGGATTTTTCTCGGATCACGGGGGAAAGAATGAAGACCGTGTTTCTTGTCGATTGGGGAAGTATGTGTGTGTGTGTGTGTATGTGTGTTTGTGTGCGCGCGTATGTGTACGTGTATATGTACGTATCTCGAACGCGGAGAGAATCCCGACGCTCCTTGCTTTCGTTCTCGAGAAACGAAAAGTAGCGGTAGAGAGCATCGCGTGCCGCTCGTTTTTACTTTTTTTCTTTTTAAACCGGAAACACGCGGAAAAGAACGGAGAATGCGATAATCGCGTCTAACAAGGAATTCCTCTCTCTCTCTCTCTCTCTCTCTCTCTCCCTCTCTCTAAATCGCGCGCGCAAATATTATGAAAGCGTAACATTGTCTTGCACTCCATGGATAAAGCTTGAGGCGCATGACGAACGCGCGTGATTATAAGCATGTAAGCGCGGCGTCGTCCCGCTCAGTCCACCGCAAAAGGATCGTGTGGTCTTAGACCGAAACTTGCTCCCCCGCCTGGCATGTGTCTGCTTTCAACCTCTCTGTTTTACTTTCCTCTTCTTCTCTTCCTCCTCCCTATCGTCACATCTTTTCTACTTTGTCTCCTTAATCTCTTTTTTTTTTTCGCTTATACGTACTTTTTTTTGTCTTCAACAACACGATCTAGACTAAACCATATATAATAATTACATCTAATAATATCTTATTGTAACATGTATTATTATTATTTATCATTATTATTTATTTATTATTACTATTATATTATTAATAATAATTAAATTATATTAGCCTAAAGTAAAGAGGCTGCGCACGACGGCAAAGCTTTTTTTTGGGCGCCTACGGCCCCCCGGGCACGGAACACCCTGTCGACAACGCTGCGGATCTCCTCCGTAGCTTCGAAGATAATCCTTTCTCTTGCATACACACACGCATCTATGCGCCTCTCTTTCGTTCTCTTTCGTTCCTCCCCCCCCCCTCTCTCTCTCTCTCTCTCTCTCTCTCTCTCTCTCTCTCCCCCCACCCAGAACGGGTACATTTTCTCACGCGCATCTATTCTGGAAAAAGTTTGTCATTTTCGGCGACTCGCCGAAAATAACAATCGCGCACAGAATGTCTTAAATCTCCGCACCTTCGTTGTGACAGAAGCGATCGATCTACGACGG